AGAAGCACTTTCTACCTTACCTAAATTGGTCCCAAAAGGAGGATGGGTAGGAAAGCATGAAATTAAGGTAGTATCATTAAATTTCTCAAAGACTAAGAGTATACGAAGTTTTTAAAATAAGACACAAATAAACAACATTTTTAAAATAAAAAATGATTAAATGAACCACATTAAAGTTAAGAACTTCTGTTCATCCAAAGCCACCACTAAGAGGTAAAGGCAAACAAATCATAGTATGGGAGAGGATGGTCATCCCATGTGTCCAACAAAGAGCTCACACCCAGGGTATATATAAAGAAGTCCCACAAGTCAGGAGAGATGGGGAAGGGGAGGGAGAAACAGAGATAGAGACATACAGAGAGAGAGAAGACAACCAATGGGGGAAAAAAGGGCAAAGACCTCATACAAAAGAGGATATACAAGTGACCAGAACATTGGAAAAGTGCTCAACTTCACCGATCATCAGGGAAAAGCAAATTGAAACCCCAGTGCTACACTGTTATATACCTCACTCTCACCACCAGAATGAATAACACGACTGCAAATACCAAGTAAAGGCAGGTGAAATGAATCTATGCCATTAGAAGTTGAATGGTGGTAGCCTTAGGCAGAGAAGTGGGTAGACATCTGATGAACAACTTCAATCCTCATGACAACTCTACAAAATGGTGGTGTCTGTGGCAATAGCAATAGTGATGGTGGTGGTGGTAGTGATAGTGGTAGTGGTAGCAGCAGTGATGGTGATGGTGCTTGTCCGAGGATGGCAGTAATGATGGTGGTGGTGGTGGTGGTAGTGATGGTGGTGACAGGATGATGGTGGCAGTGGTAATGGTGGTGGTTGTGGTGGTTCTAGTAGTGATGGTGATGATGGCGGTGGTTGTGTTGATGATGAGGTGATTGTGGTAGTGGCAATGGTGATAGTGATTATGGTGGTGGCGATGATGATGGTGATGGTGATGGTGATGGTGGTAGTGGTAGCAGTGATGGCAGTGGTTATGGTAGTGGTGGTGGTGGTGGTTATGGTGGTGATGGTGGCAGTGGTGAGGGTAGTGGTTGTGTTGATAGTGGTAGTGGTGGCGGTGGGGGTTGGGGTGGTGTTTGTGGTGGTGGTGGCAGTGGTGACAGGGGTGGTTGTGGTGGTTATAGTGGTGATGGTGGTTTTGGTGGTCACAGTGGAGAGAGTTGGTGGTTGTGGTGTAGTGGTAGTGAGGGTAGTGATGATGATGGTGATAAGTGGTAGTGATGGTGATGGTGGTGGTGATGGTGATAAGTGGTAGTGATGGTGACAGTGGTGGTGATAAAGGTAGTGACAGTGATTGTAGTGATGGTGGTGGTGATGGTGATAGTGGTAGTGATGGTGATGGTGGTGGTGATGGTGATGATGGTGGTGGTGGTGATGGTGATGGTGATGGTGATAGTGGTAGTGATGGTGATAATGGTAGTGACAGTGATGGTAGTGCTGGTAGTGGTGATGGTGATAGTAGTAGTGATGGTGATGGTGATAGTGGTAGTGATGGTGATGGTGACAATGGTAGTGACAGTGATGGTAGTGGTGATGGTGACAGTGGTAGTGATGGTGACAGTGGTAGTCATGGTGACGGTGGTGGTGATAATGGTAGTGACAGTGATGGTAGTGACAGTGATGGTAGTGGTGATGGTGGTAGTGATGGTGATGGTGGTGGTGGTAGTGATGGTGGTGGTGACAATGACAATGGTAGTGATGGTGGTGGTGATGGTGATGGTGGTGGTGATAATGGTTGTGACAGTGATGGTAGTGATAATGGTGATGGTGGTGATGATAATGATGGTGGTGGTGGCGATGACAGTAGTAGTGATGGTGGTAGTGGCAGTGGTAATACTGGTGGTTGTGGTGGCAGCAGTGGCAACAGTAGCAGTACATTAGTTCATTTTGCACTGCTATAAAGGAATACCTGAGGCTGGCTAATTTACAGGGAGAAGAGGTTTTATTTGGGCCCACAATTCCACATCCTATACAAACATGGTACTGGCCTCTGCTTCTGGCGAGGGCTTGAGGAAGCTTCCATTCATGGCAGAGGGCAAAGCGGGAGCAGGAGGTCACACAGTGAGGGAGGAGAGGGGAGGAGGCACCAGCACTAATGAGAACTAACAGAGTGAGAACTCATTCATTCCCATGAGACAAGTACCCAGCCATTCATGAGAGATCCACCCCCATGACCCAAAACCTCCCACCAGGCCCCCCGCTAACACTGGGGATGATATTTCAACATGAGAGGTGGAGGGGACACACACCTAAACCACAGCAAGTAGTAACTTGTGTGAGAACAAATCCGAGTGCTTATGCGCCAAGCACTGTCCCAAGCGCTTCATACATATTCTCTCATTTAATTCTCAGTTAAATCAATGAGATGTAGGTACCATTCTTAGTGTTATTTTACAGAACAGCAGAGCCAGACAGTGCCCTCCCCAGAGGTCTAGATGCCCCGAGCTCAGAGACTCCAGCACCGGAGCCAGGCCACTCCTCTGAGGTCTCAGTTGCCGCTCCTGGGTACTTCTCAACTTCTAGGCCACACTAGTCCAACCTCTTCACAGGCTGCCCCAGCCCAGGGCAGGAGCTGCCTCCCTCCTCACACCTCTTGTTGCTTTACATTATCTTTGCCTCTCAAACACTTCGCACTTGTCGGCCATTGTTCATAGTGATTCTTTCTGTTCTGGTGTGGCCTGTCTCCTGCCTGGACTCGGAATGACATAAGGAGGGACACAGCCCCGACAGCTGTGATCCAGCTTGGCTTGGGCTGCTATGCCACTAGTTCCCTTATCCCGAGGCAGTCCGCCTGTGTTTTTATTGTTGAAAATGCAGGTGAGGCTTGCAGTGAAGGCTTTCACACACAGGTTCTGTGATCAGTGAGATCCACCACCGCCTTCCCCTCCCACCCCTGGCCTCCCCTCTCTTGGCCAAAGACCTGGCACAGAAAAGGTAACCCCTCTGCATTCCCGCTGCTCTAGGCGCCTGCCCAGGCCCCTCTGTCTGGTTTTCATTGTTGGGGGACTTTTGGGTGCTGTGTTGCCTACTCTCGGGGAACAGCTTTTCCTTAGTCCTCCCAGAGTCCCACTTCCACTCTCGCCCTCCCTCTAACCCAGCTTCCACGACACTTGTAGCCAATGCTTTATTGCGTAGGGTTGAAATGATTTCCTTGTTTCACAGGGAATGGTTTTATTTTCACTGTTTCTTCATACTTTGTTCGGGGGAGATTTCAAGAGAAAGAGTAGAATAAAAATGCTACTCTTCTGCCATCTTTGTGCAGAAACCATGCCAAGTTAACAACTTCTAGCAGGTTCTATACTGGGCCCTGGCTTCCCAGGGGATGGGACCACCTCACTGTGACCTCCTTAGGGCTGAAGCAAAGCCTTAGATGAGTGCAAGAACCACTCCTCGGGGGGAAGGTAGTAAGATGAACACATCAGATTTGCATTTTTAATAACTATTTAGCATATAACAATTTGCCACTTATGGCCTCGCTCAATAAAAAATATACTTGTTATTCCATGTTGTGTGACTAGCACTGAAAGGAAAAAGGAAAAAAAAATCCCACCAAAAAGGGAAGGATTCAAGACAAGAAAAAATAAAATGAATGTGCACCGAGAAGCTACAGGTGTTCCTGCTCCACCCCCACGCCCTGCTCTAGGCACACCTGGCCCTCCTGAGCAAGAACACAAGGTGAGCTGCCCCACGGCTCCAGTCCCATGACCACGCACACAAATCACTAAAGGACAGGCCTGGGTCACTCCCCAGGGCCAGGCTCCTTCCAGGGCAGACACGGACCCACCAGGAGAATGGGTTAGACAATGCAGATGCAAAGCTTCATGCTTTACTTCCTACAGACACAGATTTCTGTCAAAATCAGTGGAAGAAATACGGGAATACAAGATACCCTGAAATTCTCCAGAGTGGTACAAGCCCAAATTCACCCTTTCTTACACACTCCAAACTCATCCTCTCATGACATAATTCTTTGCCTGCAAATTCTCCCAAGCTCAGCCCTGGGCCTTCCCTCAAGCTGGAACTAACCAGAGGGTCTGTGGCTCTACCCCTAATAAACTTGGTTTTTCACATTAGAATGTCATTAGCATGGGGAGGGAGCCCTCTGTCAGGAAGTAACGTGCGATCAGTACATCCTCTACCGGAAGCTTCACCAGAACCAAACTCCCATTGTACGCCTGGTTCATCTCACCCATACGTCAGAAGCACATAAAACACCCCCAAAAGCCTGCTGACTTGCTTTCCCTGTTTCATCCTCTGTCTGGTCTCACTAGTCTACAATTTCTCTCACTGTATTACATTACCCAGTTTTATTTCCACATATTACTCTTGATACCTTTCCCTCCTCCTATACAATACACTCCCCCTTTGATCAATGCACTCACTAGCCTCTGACACACCAGGTGTCCTGCCAAACACAACCTCCCTAGTTCAGTCTTGTAATGTATATGCTAAATACTACCTCCCCTATTTATCCAAGAGGAAATCGAGGCACAGTAGTAACAGTTCCCCAAGGGCAAATAGCTAAGCTAGTAAATGGTGAAGTCCTAATTTCAACACACGTCCCCTGACCCCAAACTACGTGAGCTGGATGCATTACAGGTGGGATCCCAAACAGACTCCTTCCAGGCCTGCTAATGCTTCTCTCCCATTCTTTGAAGAAATAGTTCTGCTGAGTAGCTGATGGATGTTGAGGCCTGGGAAAGGGCACTGGGGATACAGAGGTGTGTGCTTGGTCCCGCTGTCCGCTGCTGAGTGTCTTTCATGAAGAACCGGTTTCCCACTGTCATGACGGCACCAAGCTTCCCCGAGGCTCCTGCACTCAAGCTCTCAGCCTGTAAGCCCTCGCCTGACTTCTACTGACTTTCACTGAATCCACAAAGAAGTTTTTAGAATCTCTGGAAATGGAGTATTTAAACTATCTCTTCTACAAGTAAACAATACAAACATTCCCAGGGTCAAAGCTGCTTACGATACCTACCTTTAGTGGTGAGAACTTTCGAGGTGACCTCCAGTTTCTCCAGTGGTTCCATTCCAATATTTTCCAACTTAATGATTAGTTGCTGACTTTCTCCATTGTAAAGCTGGACAGATACATTAGTAGATATTTCATCACCAGAAGAAGGTTGCAATGAATGTGCAGATCTAAAATAATAAGAAGAAATTTAAAGAAGAAATAAGGAAGAAGCCAAGGCCATTTTAGAATTACTCACATAAGGCAGAAAAATCGCCATACTCATGCATCTCAGAAACAGGGGCTAGGAAATCCTGGCTTCACACATGGAGTTCAGTACCCAGCTATCAGGAATGGAAAGTCAGCCGCCACAGGCCTCATGCTTTCCTCATGAGACACGTCCAGGTCTTTGTGTGTCATAAACATGAACACCCTCACTCAGCGTTCATTTCTCATGCGTATGTGAAGCATAAAAGTACTTAATTACTAAGTTATGGAGGATAAAAATTAAACAATGAATTGATTCAAATAAACCATGAAGGCATTGTCTCTCAAAATCTAAAAAATGTCATGCTTAGAAGTGCCTTGGGAAAATCCAGATTTAAGAGGAGAACGTATACCAACCATTCCAGCTGATAACATGAGAGCTGAGGTCAAAGAGAAATGAGAAGCCATCCCACAGACCCCTTCCTACAGGTACAAACTGTGAGGAATGCCCACCAACACCTGGTGTCACATGAGGGCAGCTGGGCCAGGCCCTGGGGTCAGGCAGTATCTGTGGGGCTCCATCCTCACACCAGTCAGGTGAGGCCCTGGACTACAGGACAGGCCAATGCAGCCAAGCCAGACGAACGTGCAGCGCAGAGGCCAGGGCCTCCCTGAGGCTCCTGCACTCAAGCTGTCAGCCTGTAAGCCCTCGCCTGACTTCTACTGACTTCAGCTGAATCCACAACGCTAACTGTCCTGGTTGTGTCCTTCCCAACCCACAGGCTGCAAACAGTGGGTTGGGAAGGAGGTCACTGGTGATCACAGAGAAAATATATCTGGTAGCACAATGGGGACAAATATCAGTGGACGACAAGTAGAGGCACGTGACAGGTGAGGTTAAACACACACATGGCTCCCTAGAGAAGTCTGGCCACAGAACAAAGGGGCAGCCAGAGGAGGTGGCTAGAGCGGGGAGGCCGACATGTTCTCCTGGGGCCTGAAGGTTTCCTGAGTACCCCACTGCCTTCTTCCTGCCCCTGAAGGATTTCCACAGAGACACACAATTAGTCCAACATACTTGAGCCAACATCGTGTGCTTAGTGCAACAAGAAATGGCTCATGAAGTCAACTAAGCAGACTGTGGATCACCCCACCCCAGACACTCTCCAGCAGTCTTTCCCATGCCCAGCTCCTCCCGGCCCTGCTCCCGGTCACAGTGCACAGGATCGGAGTTGGATCTGCTTCCCGTGCCATGGGAGCACTTGGTGTCACACACTACTTGGTCCGAAGGACAGAAAAGAATGTTCCAGACTCACACCTCTGCCATCCAAGGGAAGAAATGCTGCTTAACACAAGCCAAGCTCATAGCACTGGGCACGTGTTTCCTGGGGGCTTCCAGATGCAGACTCTGACAGAGGAGCTTCTGCGTCCAAACCAAATCTTGGTGAAATAATTGCATCATAAATCAAGGTGAGCTCCTTGGAATTTAAGTATCTTTAATGCTCATGAGTCAAGAAATAAACTTCCTCTGTCAAGGAAGGAAAATTGGATTTGTGTCCTTACCATAAAGGGCTTCTTCCCATCTTTTAGCAGGCAGCCTTTCTCAAGCAAAAGTTTGTAGTCAATATGGATTTGCAGAGAAAGTATCAGGAAAAAAATAAAACATGGCCAAGCCTCAGGATTTTGTGTCTCAAACAACAGGATTTTGAGACAAAACAAAACAATGCTTGACCGGAAAGTCACAGGGCCTGGGCCTGACACAGGCCCTAACGGTCCCAGCTGCAGCGTCCCAGTTGTCATGAGCAGTGGAGCTTGGGTGGGACTCGGGCTGGCACTGAAAAGGAGGTGAGTCCTAAACAGGCCATGGCACTAAAGAGATGGCAGCAGGGACCCTACTCCAGCCAAGGTCAGGCCCCCAGGGAGGGGGTGCAGCGGTTGGGCAAAGGTCAGGTCCAGTCTCCTAGGAGGAGATGGGGACCAGGAGCTTCTTGGCAGAGAGAAACTCCAATGTGGGACTATGGGCAAACTGTGGGAGGTAGGAGTAAAGTCTATGCCAACGAGACTCTCTTGTTTAAGGAGATGGCCCCTAATATGTGGTCTGTGTTGGATGAGTCAGCCCCTGGGTCTGAGCAGCAGAGGAAACTGCAAGGGGGAATCACCAGTGTCTGAAGCTTGGCAAGCCTGTGTCCCCCGAGCACTCTGTGGGCTCAGCTGCCCTTCCTGTAGCTCTAGCCCTCCCCACCCCTGCACTGGACCAAAAGTTTTTTCAAGACAGGGACTTTTTTTTTTTTTTTTTTTTTTTTGAGATAGTCTCGCTCTGTCACTCATGCTGGAGCGCAGTGGTGCAATCTCCACTCATTGCAACCTCCACCTCCCAGGTTCAAGCAATTCTCCTGCCTCAGCCTCCCGAGTAGCTAGGATTACAGGCTCATGCCACCAGGCCCAGCTAATTTTTTTGTATTTTTAGTAGAGGTGGAATTTGGCCATGTTGGCCAGGCTGGTCTCGAACTCCTGACCTCAGGTGATCTGCCTGCCTCGGCCTCCCAAAGTGCTAGGATTACAGGCGTGAGCCACCGCGCCCGGCCGTGACAGTATTTTTATCTCTGCATTATCAGCTCGTACCTAGCCAGGTACCTGGCACACAGCAGGTACTCACTAAGTATGTATTGAACAAATTAATAAGCATCTCAAACTTGAACCACTGTGCAACACAGAAAAGCACCCTAGCAGTAATCAAAATGGGCCTGGGACAGAGTGGCCTGCTGCACACTTCACGGCTGCCTCCCATTGAGCCTCACCCTGTGCAGTGCATCTCTGCATGGCTGCCTGGCCATGGAGAAGGCGGGACAACGCATTTCCACAGGAGACACCATCAGGCCACCTGCTCCTGACCTCGGCCCTCGTCACTGTCAGTGCTCAAGGCACCACTCCCGCCAGGCTCCATCTGGGCACCTCCGACTCCCATCCTGGAATGCTCTCTGCCGCGTCCCACCCACTGCTTACCGGCTCTGCTCCTCTGCATGTCTCCTCGGCAGAGGCCTTTCCTGAGAAGCTCCCTGCAAAGCAGGCCTCGCCATCTGACGCTGCTTCGCAAAGTGACCTGCCTTCTGTCTCTGAAGGCCTGCCTCTTCTGGACATCTCATCTCATCTGACCCGCTGTGTTTTCATCACAGCACTGAATTCTCCTGCACCACGGTTTATATTTGTTGGATTGGTTGACTCGTTGTTCTCTCTGCGTTTTCTTCCACGCTTGATTATCTGCCCAAGTGTTGTGGGTCTTGTTAGGCTCAGTAGAATACCACATCTTCTATGAAGCCTTCCGAACCCCAAAGACAGGATCAACCTCTGCTTTGTTTTTATATGACAGGGCCAGTCAGCAAATTCAACTCTAGTTAGTCTGAGTACCTCCTTCCAGACTGTGAACTCATACAAGGGGAGAAGCCTAGGTCGAGGGCATTTTTTATTCATTGCATTTTTTATTAATCGCTAGTCCTATAGCACAGGGCCTAAAGCACATGGTAGGTGTCGATAAATGTTTGTGAGTAAATTTAATCAATAAGTCACTGGAATGTTCATATTAGATTAATAACAATCAAAACTCAAAGAATAATCACATTTTATTTCAGGAAGTCACCTTAGAAAAATATATACATTATATACAATTTTTAAAAATAAGAAATAAAAAACAAACATTTTAACTCCAAATCGGTTCCACTGGACCCTCTCCTCCAGCCCCTGGTCCTCAGCAGGACCTGCTGGGATCCACATTCCTCCCTAGGGCCCAGGCTCAGTGCCAGGCTCAGCTGCCCACAGCGGCACATCTTCTTGTTGAGAGGTAGCAGGTACCAGAGCATGCATGCACCCCCGTCACAGCGCATCCACAGGACAATAAAAATTGGGGGTCAGAGGCAATATCTTTGGAAACGATTCTAAACACAGGAGAAAAATGTGGGGTGGGCAAAGAGAAGCAGCTAGAGGACCTGCTTTCTTCACTGCCTCTTACAGCTGGCAGGTACCTTCGGGGAGGCCTTATTAGCAGGACAAATGACAAAGTTAAAGTACCTCTTCTCAAGTTATTTTTCCCTTTTGGTAATAGCTGCCCTTAGCATTTCTTCGCCTTAAGCCACCCCCTGCCCTTTTGCTGGAGCGCTGGCCAGGGCTCGCTAAGCTGGAGCCGGAGCCACGATCTCCTTGATGAGCTCTCCGGGCTCACCTCCAGCTTTTGTGGGGCGGCTGGTGCTCTGTACAGGCCTGTACGCACGTGCCATGAAACTGTAGCTGAAGCTGCTGTCCTTCCTAGCCTAGCGCCCACTGGCTGCCACAGTTCTACGGACAGCAGTGGCAGAATTGAGCAGCCAAAGCCAGAGCTGGGAGTCTGCGCGTCTGGCTGTTCAAGCTAATGGGCTCAGAAGTGCCCAGGCCCGGGAAGTCCTGGTGGCAGGCTCAGCGGAAATCATGTGTCCATCCAACACTGAAGTCTTGCCAAAATTCATCTTTTTAAACAGTGTGTGGAGGTATAAAATCCACCTAGCTTAAGTATGCAATGCAATCATTTTTGGTAAATTTACACATCACTGATACCCAGTGTTTTTTCGTTTTGTTTTGTTTTTGTTTTGAGACGAAGTCTTGCTCTTTGTCCCCCAGGCTGGAGTGCAGTGGTGCGATCTCGGCTTTCTGCAACCTCTGCCTCCCAGGTTCAAGCGAGTCTCCTGCCTCAGCCTCCCAAGTAGCTGGGATTACAGGCGCCTGCAACCACACCCAGCTAATTTTTGTATTTTTTTAGTAGAGACGGGGTTTCACCATGTTGGCCAGGCTGGTCTCGAACTCCTGACCTCAGGTGATCCGCCGGCCTCGGCCTCCCAAAGTGCTGGGATTACAGGCGTCAGCCACAGGGCCCGGCCTGATACCCAGTTTTAAAACACTTGCAGCACCCCAAAGAGATGCCGCAGGAGTACTTCCAATCAGTTTAGTCCCCACACCACTGGCAGCCTCAGGCAGCCGCTAAGCTGTGTCCCGCCGCTAGGGACCTGCTTTCTTAATGTTTCACGTCACAGGACTCACGCTCTGCGCCTCTCGCATCTGGCTTCTTGCACTCAGCAACTCGCCTCTGAGGCTGGTCTGCACTGGGGCGCGTGCTCCTTGGTCCCTTCATTGCGGAGTGGTGTTCCACTGCAGGGGCGCACCGCATTCTGCTGACCATTCACCAGCTGACGGCCATCTGGCCCCTTTCCAGTTTTCTGACCGTGGACGATGCTGCTAGGAACACTCGCGCACAGGTTTCTGTGTCAGCATATGTGTTCCGTTGTCTTGAGCAGGTACCTAGGAGTGGAATTGTTGGGTCATATGGTAAACTTATGCGTAACTTCTGAAGAAACTGCCAATGTGTATTCAAAAAGGGTGTCCCATCAGCATCCCTATCGGCCTCGCATGAGGCGTCCAGCGTCTCCGAAACCTTGCAGCCCTGCTCTCGTGAGCCCCGTGAGCGGGTGTGAACTGGAGCCTCACGTGGTGCCAGTCCAGAGACTAAAGATGTCGACCATCCTTCCAGGTTGCTTACGAGCTATTTGTATACCTTGTGGTGAAACAGCTACTCATATTTCTTGTCCATTTTTAAAATTAGGTTGTACATCTTCTTTTTATTAAGTTTTAAGAGTTCTTAATGTGAATATAAGCTCTTTATCAGATATTTAATATGCAAATATTTTCTTCCAGTCTGTAACTTTCATTCTCTTAATGGTGTCTTTGGAAGCGTAAAAGCTTTTAATTTTGATGAAGTCCAATCTGCAACGTTTTCTTCCAGGGATCCTGCTTTTGGTGTCACATCAAAGAACTCTGCCCAATTCAAGGTCATAATTTTCCTTTATTTTCTTCTAGAAGTTATATACTTTCAGCTTTTACACTCAGGTCTATAAACCCTTTCCAGTAAATGTTGTCTGTGTTTCATTTTATTCCCCGATTATACGTCAGTGTCTCCACCTCTCCTTCCTCTGTCAGAAGACCGCCCTGCCTGCCCCTGTACCTGGCCAGTTCCCCCTCCCCCACATTGAGCTTGGTGTTGCCTCCTGGAAGAACTCTTCCCTGAGTCCGTGACCTCCCCCAGCACGTGGGACCTCCCCCATCAGAGTCCTGACGACAGTGCACTGTGATTACTCCACGACTTGTCAATTTCCCCGCTTGACAGAACTTCCCGTGAGGACAGAGACCAGGACTGTCACGATCACTGCTACAGCCCTAGCACCCAGCACAGCAACTGGCAAATGAAAGTGCCTATTAAACACATGAATGGGATTTAAAAACATTTCAGAAAATCCCGACACATTTTATAAAAATGGCCAAAAGGGTAACCGTTAAGTGTTTTTCGTAAGTGCAAAAATTAAGAACAGGCTGGGCGTGGTAGCTCATGCCTGTAATCCCAGCACTTTCGTAGGCGGAGGCAGGCAGATCACTTGAGATCAGGAGTTTGAGACCAGCCTGGCCAATGTGGCAAAGCCCTGTCTCTACTAAAAACACAAAAATTAGCTGGGCATGGTGGCAGGTACCTGTAATCCCAGCTACTCTGGAGGCTGAGGCAGGAGAATTGCTTGAACCTAGGAGGTGGAGGCTGCAATGAGCTAAGATTGTGCCACGGCACTCCAGCCTGGGCAACAGAGCAAGGCTCTGTCAAAAAAAAAAAAACAAAACAGAGAACATCCCAAATTCCAATAGCAAGGAAATTAATGGGTATGCAATTTTGAGATATCTTTATGATACACTTTGTTGAAGCAATTAAAATTGAATTTTCTCCAGAATTCGTAAAAGCATGAAGAAAAGCTTACATTATGTGGTTATGCAAAAAGCAACCTATAATACTATATATGATGTCATGTAATCTCAACTCTTCAAATACTTATTTTTAAATACGATGGATAAAACACTGGAAGGAAATATCACAACAAATCATTTATACTAATTGCTTCTGGGACTCATGAGATTTCTTTTTCTTTCTTCTTTATGTTTTCCTATAATGCTAAAAAACAAATAAGATCAAAACTATTTCTTAGAAGATAAGAGTTGGCTGAGCACGGTGGCTCACACCTATAATCCCAGCACTTTAGGAGGCCAAGATGGGTGGATTGTTTGAACCTAGGAGTTCGAGACCAGCCCAGGCAATATGGCGAAACCCCATCTCCACAAAAAATACAAAAATTAGCCAGACATAGTGGTGGGAACTTGTAGTCCCAGCTACTCAGGAGACTGAGGTGGGAGGATCACTTGAACCTGGGAGGTGGAGATTGCAGTGAGCCGAGATCACAATACTGCACTCCAGCCTGGGCAACAGAGAGGGACTCTGTCTCAAAAAATTAATTAATTAAAACATAATATAATATAAAAGTTTAATTAAAATTCCCCCCCTTATTTTTTTTGGAGATGGAATCTCGCTCTGTCACCCAGGCTGGAGTGCAGTGGCACGATCTTGGCTCACTGCAAGCTCTGCCTCCCATGTTCACGTCATTCTTCTGCCTCAGCCTCCCAAGTAGCCGGGACTACTGGTGCCCACCACCACGCCCGGCTAATTTTTTTTTTTTTTTTTTTTTTAGTACAGATGGGGTTTCGCCGTGTTAGCCAGGATGGTCTCGATCTCCTGACCTCATGATCCACCCGCCTCAGCCTCCCAAAGTGCTGGGATTACAGGCGTGAGCCAATGCGCCCAGCCAAAATTCCCTATATTTTTAAGGGAATTCCTAAATTCCCTAATTCTGTTTTTCAAAAGAATTATGATTCCAAGGCTAATTTCACATTCTGTTCTGATCATGGTAAGAAAGATTTTAAGTTTGTTCTAATTCATTTTAAGCAAAGCATATTGATGTTGCTTATCTTAAAGAAATCCTTCACCTATATTCTAGTCATAAGAATTACAGGCTCTTTGTGCCATTAAAAAAAAAAAAATATATATATATATATATATAGGACCAAAAAAAACCAATGATGCCTCAGAGCCACTCTGGTCTGTGACCCTTGTACACACTACCTGGGCAGAGAGGTGCTGATCTGTAGTCTCGGCAAAGCGGGAATGACTTCGACTGTGGAGCCACTGGTTTTTATTCCCGGCAGGTTATCCAGCAAACAGTCACTGAACACGCCGAAGACCGTGGTATGGTAACCTGGAACAGAAAATGAGCATCTTCACTCCACTGGCAAGGCTCTGGGTCTCACACCCACCGCCGAAGCAGTGCGAAGAGCACGGGGCTCCTCTTCAGAAGACCTGAGTTCTGCAGTTGCCCAGGGCCCGCCGGCGCTCACCCACACTCCCGCCCTCAACCCCGCGACCGTCACTGGCCTTGTAGGTGATGGGGAGGATAACAGCATCTGCATTCCTGTTTCCCAAGGCTGGCCTGGGTCCAAATGAAAGACTATATAAGTGAAGGTCCTTGTAAACCATAAATATCTCCTTAATAATCAGTATCTCATCCCTTTACTCATTTGCACTTTTCAGATTTATCCATCTCTAAAACGAGAATGTTAATATTATTTCCCAGGATATAATGTGACTTAATGAGTATTTGAAAAATGCTTTAAACCCTTCTGTTGAAAGATGAAAGTTCACGAGCCAATTGTTATTGTAGCCGCTGCTGATAACGGCAGATGTGCTGTATCTGTATAAGCACCATAATTTAAGATGAGCAAATTTCCCATGTTAAAAAAAGAAAGTCCACTGGTTAGATAAGCACTTGAAATTGTTTAAGCAAAGCTTTAAAATGGCTTTCGAAATTTCACAAGATAATTACTATAAACAACATTCACTCTATAACAAAATTAAACAATACCCCGTGGCTAGATGCCTAGGGTGACAACATTTTTGCATTCATATGAAACTATTCCATACTAAAAGGAGAGGCAGGCACTCCCTCAAGGGCAAATCAGGGACCTTACACAGCCTCAATCAGCCCTGCGCTCACCTCCTGCCAGCCTGAAGCTGCCCTATCAATGTAACTCCCATTCAGAGCAGCCGCGCTTCCTCTAAAGTATACCTCTTCAAAGACATCTTTAACTGGCAAACATTCTCCTCCCCAGAACCACATCCGGCACTAATGTCCTTTCTATAAAACCTGGTATGACGTGGTTTTGTCTGCTAAGCAGCCATTGTTTTGTAATTCTTAATTTAAACCATTTTCCTTTTCTTACCCGTTGCTTAAAATAACTGCCATATAAACCCAAAAGTCTGATGACAAATAGTACATTACAACGTCTGATAATACGAGGTCAGTCCTTTCGACTTGGTTCCCAAAGCGGGCCACAAATGAACACTCCCTAGTGTGGACCCAGGATAAACAACTAAGAACTGTGTGACTAAGGCTCTGACTCCTCATCTGTGAACATACTAGCTACGGGTTACATGTTATTCGGAATTAAGCCCTTCACTCCTCATTACTCCTCTCTCATCTATTCATATCTCCTATGCTCCACTGCCAGGCCATGGCTATGGTCCTGCCTCTGTCCCTTTCTTCCTGGGTCATCGCTGAAGCTTGATCACTGGTGTCCCTGCCTCCAGTCCTTCCCATCTCAACAGGGGTCCTGGATCCTGAGGATGGCTCTGAACGGCCCACCCAACCACATCTCTCTCCAAAGAACGCAGTGTGTAAGACCCCAGGTCGGCACTCTGCCTCCCTTCCAGCCTGTCTCATCCCTGCCACCCTGGCCTGGACCACCCACTCTGACCATCCCCCGGTCCCCCAAATGCACCATGTTCTCTCTTACCACCACGTTGTTCTTTCTGCCTGGAATTCTCTTTCTGCCCCCTGTGTACTCCCCGCACAGCCCAGCCCCATTCATTTGAATAGTTCCTAGTTAGCCTTCAAGTCTCAGGGTCACTGACCAACCCACTCTCCCCACTGGGTCCATGCCCAGAGTCATTTGCTCCCACGGCCACTCCACTCCATCTTCCCACTTGGGGCAGCACAGCCTCACCTACAATGACACCTGCCTCACCCACCCATAGGGAGCGCCCTTCCAGCAAATGTTTGCTCTTCCAGCCAACAAACACACACTGAAGACCTACTGTGTGCCAGGCTCCACACTAGGCATGGAGCTGCAGCTGAGCCAGACACACGGGGCCAACAAGGAATCTATCACACAGAGTCAGGAAGGAGACCACCGACCAGGGGCCTAGACCAGCGAGCACACATGGAGGAAGGCTCCCGGAGGAAGGGAAGCCTGTGCTGAGGACTGAGGGAAGCCCAGGAGCCAGCCAGGGTGATAAGCACTCAATGCAGCACAGGTAAAGCCTCAGAAAGCCTGGAAAACTGCCAGAACTAAAGAGTCTTCGGAGACTGAAGTAGGAGCAGAGGGCAGAAAGGAGGTTGCGGAGGCCAGCAGGCACCGGACCACAGTGGGCTCCAGAGCAACACTTAAAGACCGGGCCTTGATAACACGGGCCTGGCGACAGCTGCGAGGCTCCCAGTTGAGAGATGTCAGGAGCAGATTCGCGCTAGGAAGATTGCTGGGCCACAGATGGGAGGTGGGTCTATTAGCAAGCAAGACCAGGGCAAAAACACCAGTCCCAATGCTTTTCTGACAAACCCTAGAAGAGTTATGATCTGCAAGACAGGAAGGGGCAGTGGAGGTGGAGAGAAGTGGCAGTTCTCAGGAAGCACTGAGGGAGGGGCGTGGGGGTGCTGTGACAGACAGCGAGGGTCGAGGATGACGCATATGGGTGATGGGGATGCCCGCGCTGAGATGGAGGCTTGACGGGGGCAGGGGCAGCTTTGGGGAGGCGAGGTAGGGAGTTCTGGTTTACACCTATTGTATGAGAGGTGCCCAGGAGCCAGCTGGGAAGGGCTGGAGGTACAGGCTGGGAAGAAGCCCAGCCCTGGAAATCATCTGCACATTGGAGGAACTGGAAGACAGGAAGGTCAAGGGCATTGGTGGGATCACCTAAGGTAGCCTGTGGAAGAGAAAGAGTTAACAGGGCCAGGGAACACAGGATGAGGGGTGGGGAAGGAAAGAAGTGGGGTGTGAGGAAGGCCTGGCTGAGAGGGGTGGGCTGCAGAAGACAAGAGAGACCCAAATAGAAAGGCCAGAGAGGCGGTAAAACATCCGGAGGCGCAGGGTCACAGCAGCCAGAGCAGAGAGGCGGTAAAGCATCCAGAGGGCGGGCTCACAGCAGCCAGAGCAGAGGGCATGCCTAGTGGAGGGTCAGCCAGGGACTCAAAGGGCACTGAGGAGTGAATTTAGGGGAAAAAAACTGAAAAGTAGGCCCTGGATTTAGCCCAAAAATATACTGCTTGTAACAGGAGTTTTGGTGAAGTGAAGAGGGCTGCGTCCAGGATGCAGAGGGTTAAAGGCCCCTGCAGAGGCGGAGATTCAGCGTGTATAGACACCCTCTGAGGAGTTCCCGCAAGAAGGAGCAGGAGGAAGGAAGGCTCACTGGAGGGAGACAAAGCAGAGGGAGGAAGGGCGTGGACAGTAGGGTCAGAGCACAGGAAGGACCCCTCCCACCACCACATATCCTGCACCTCACGAACAGGTTTTTTTCATGCTTCCTGAAGAAATACGGTCTTCATTATCTTCTAACTGGTTAGGACTGGCAGGACGGGCGATCGGCTCTGGACCTCACGGAGGCCATGCAACGGTGCAGCAGACCCTCCTGAGCGGGAACCATGAAGGGACTCTCCTTACCGTTCACAGTGATCGTTCCAGTCGTCTGCGGGACCCCGACGAGCGTCACTGGGTACAGACCAGATTCAGCCGGAAGAGAAAGCGCCGCAGGGAGAGACTCAAACTCCACTCCGCTGGTGAGCAGCCCCTAAAACAAGCCACGCGGCATCGTGAGCCCGGACCAAACCTACTGTGCGCTCTGTTCCAAATGTGCCTTAAGACACTGGCTATGGCACATCTGGAACTGCTGGAAGAAAATGACCAACAGTCTTTATAGAAACCCACAGAGAACTTCAGAGACAGTGAACAGTGTAATGCAAAACCACCTAAACACGGTAGGCACGGCGGGTGCTCAGGCGATAAACCACAGATCCACTTGGTTTTAGCCCTGTTTGCTGTATGTTTGATATTTGTTTTATCATTTTACCAAATGGGAATGTGAACACAAAGAGAAAATATTTTATTTATAAACAAAAATAAATAAAAACATGACTGGGCACGGTGGCTCACACCTGTAATCCCAACACTTGGGAGGCCAAGGTGGAAAGAACACTTGAGTCCAGGAGTTCAAGACCAACGTGGGCAATATAGTGAGACCCCATCTCTACAAAAAAATTTTAAAATTAGCTGGGGAAGGTGGCACACACCTGTGGCCCCAGCTACTTGGGAGACTGAGGTGGGATGATTACCCGAGCCCAGGAGGCTGAGGTTGCAATGATCACACCACTGCACTCCAGCGTGGGGGACAGAGTGAGATTCTATCTCAATCAATCCATCAATACAATGTGGAAATATGCCACGAGTTAATATCCCTGCCATACATCTATGAGTTATCAACTTATTTCAGTATGTACTAAGCTTGCTAGTACAGGCACTAAGCTTGCTAGTGAACAAGACATGCAGATTCCCTGGCCTCAAGACGGTGGCCCATGATTGGAAGCAATGCAGGTATGTCGGCCCTCAGGACTTCTCAGCATTGTAATAGAGGTCCTACTCAGGGCACTAAAGCAAGAAAAAGGAAGAAAAGGCATAAAGGCAATTACTCACAGAAAACAAAACCAGGGTCATAGAATACGCTATGGAATCTACAATGAAACTTGAACTTTCTAGTACATTTAGCAAAGTGATACAGTCAGAAAAAAAAAAAAAAAGGAGTTATTTCTATAGTTTAGCAATAAACAATTGGGGAAAATATCATTAACAAGCGATCAAAACCATCAACTATATTAGAAAAAACCTAACAAATGACGGGCAAGGTCTCACAACAGTTACAGAACACTGCAGAGATAAAGAAGCCCTGGGCGAAGGAGGAAATCCTGGATTCTTCTTAGCGGGTTGGTTTTCTGCAGCGGTATGGTCAAAGCTACCCTGCAACTCTCTCAGATAGGACAGGACCGAGCATCTGAGTAGATGTGCTGATGCTGGGAGTCCGAGTCTCACTTGGGAAGAAATGACACACGTGGATGGAGGAAGGCAAGCACCCTCTGGAGAAGCGCTGGAAAGCAAGGGCAGACGCTACATGCATGTCTGTGGTGTAGATGCAGGGATATACACAAGTGTACATATATGTAGGCATATGGGCTTAGATAGATATGTGCGTTCTCATGCATGTGTATATGCATACAGACTTTTCCTAACTCTGTCTACAGAAAGCACCCAGAAGCAAAGCCACTCTCTCGGCAGTGAGTACACTTAGTGCCTGGACTTGGAGCCAAGGTGTGAAATGATCTATGTGTGGAACAGATGTAGCAGGCAAGGGTGGAAGCCGAGGAGCCAATTGTCTCTAGGCAAATATATTGGCATTTATTTCCTTTGAAAATAGCTAAAGCAATATGGCCAACTGTGAACATTTTTTAAATGTGAATGGTGGATATGCGCGTGTGTAGTATTCCCTGTAACATTTGGTATGTTTAAAATACTTCCTAATTTAATTTTTAAAACTTTGCCCATGAGTTGTGGGCTATCTCCATGTGGTGCTTTTTATTTTATTCCCTGCTCTTCCTCATTTGTTATAATAAGCACATATTGTTTTTAAACCAGATAAAAATGAAAGCTACATTTTAAGACCAAAAAAAAAAAAAAATGTGTAAGAAAGAGCAGCAGGCATTTGATACTTTAACCACTTAGGGGGAAATTCTCTAAACTGCTTCTCCCTCCTAAGGCTGAGACAGAAAGCCACAGGAAAGGCCTAAGCCAAATCCTACTGCAGGTCAGTCCTCACCCAATGGAAGGAGAAGCACTCCTCCCAAGTGCACCTCAAGACCACAAGCTGAACATCCAGCTGAGCTTCCAGGAGCTTCCAGGAGTTGCAAGCTGCAACTCAGCCTGTACTCATGGCCAGGCTGTCACATCTGTCCCAGGAACCCTTCCCTGACTCTCCAGGGCCAGGCAGACTCCCCTCCACATCAGGCCTGCAACACCTCGTGCACCCCAACAGAGCCTTGATCACAGTCGCAGCAGGGACCAGGGCCTGACCATCTCTGTCCCCTCAGGGCCTTGCCTGGGGCCTGACGCATGGCAAGAGCACTCAGCAAAATACCTGCACGAAGAGTCTGCCTCTTACCCTGAACACCAGTCATAAAACCCTAAAAGACAACGTCCACTCTCGCAGCACCATCCTTTGCGTGCTGCTGAAAAGTTACACAGCAGCACCACACAGCAAGGCAGAGAAGACTCGAGGGATGGAACCTACATTGGCATGGGGAGGGTCTGTTCTGAAAACATAGAATCAGCTTAGAGGGCCAGTACAAATCTCCTTCCCCCTGACTAGAGAATTGGGTAAGCATTTCCAACAGAAGAGATTACAAAGTGAATCTTTCACACCCTACACAAAGCATAGAAACGGGATATCAGGATTTCAAAACAAGAGAAAGCTGATGATGGTGGTGTGGTCATTTATCCTCCCATTCCACAGCTTGTTCTTCCCCAGGGCCTTGATCATCTTACCATCTTGCAGTGATAAAATAATGCTGATATCATTGAGTAGCAGGCATAACGTGGACTTTGCAACCTCAACTCATCTCATGTAAGCTTCAAAATGATTATTTCACATCTTATACCCAATCAACTAAGCTCGGTATGTGTTCAAATCAGAGGTTTCTTTGTAGGTTCAAATATGTATTGAGAATCAAGCCTAAAGACACAGGAATAACGAAACATGGTCTTCATTCACAATAAGCTTATATGCTTTGGCAAAACAAACATAAAAAGAGACACATATCATAAGATGTGTGCCTCAGACATTAAGTAAAAACCTGCTTTAATGAGAAGTTTGTGCGTTAGCCCAAAAAGATCAAATGATGGGTGATACATACCATGTTTTCAACCCGAAGTTCAAACGGCATTGGGTTATACACCATCAGCTGAACTTCACACACATCTCCTTGAACCCACTGGAAATCTAGAAAATACACACACACACATCAACAAATCCATGTATTTGTTGGCATTTTTTCACTTTCCACATGGTTTCCAATTATTCCTCTGGCAATTTATATTCTCAACGAGGCAGCAGGCTCTATGATCATCTTGAGATGGGTGAGTCAAAGCTGCTTTTTCCACCGGCTTTCTCTGAAACAAAGCAAGGCAGCCGTCACTGGCGCTTTGATGCCACATGAATGGCGCTTGTCGCCACCTTCAGCGGGCTGCATTCATGCCAGCATCTGTCCAGATGGCACTGTTCTTGGTACAGAGCCATAAGGCACACCGCGCTTCACGGGGCCCAGAGGCTGGCAACACAGGAAGATGGTACTGGGGTCACTTGTGAGTAATATGGAGTGTGATTTGCTCTACTCCCCGAAGACTGTGGGGAGGCGGGGGGCTTCTCCTCCCCACCCACTCCCAGGTCAACTGCAGTTCAGTACCTGTGCAGGGGCAGAATTCTGATGACCTCCAAAACCCCCAGCCTTGGTGTGCACAACCTGGTGTGCATGCACAGTGTAACCCCACTTCCAGTGTGAATATGATGATGAGGCTGGATTGTAAAACAAAGGTGGAAAGATTTTACAGATGTGATTGGGACCCCAATCAGTTGACTCCGAGTTAATCAAAAGGAAGGTTGTCCTGGACGGACTTGTTCTCATCAGGTGAGACCTCACAGGAGACCACGGCCTTTCCTAGAGGGCCTGTGGAGGGGACCACATGGCAAGGGCCTAAGAGCAGTCTCTAGGAGCTGAGAGCAGCACCAGCAGACAGCGGGGAACTGAGAGCAGCACCAGTAGACAGCCGGCGAGAGAACAGGGACCACAGGAAATGAATGAAGAACCACCTGAGGAGTCGTGAAAGCAGGCCCTTCCCTTAGTTGAGCCTCCAGATGAGGACACAGTCCCAGATGACACTTGGATTTCAGTCCTGTGAATCCCTGAGCAGAGGACCCAGCCGAAGCCCACACAAATCATGAGGAAGCAGATTTGTGTTGTTTTAAGCTACTGAGTCTGTGGTCATTTGTTACAAAGCAACAGAAAGCTAATTCAGCATCTGTCCCAATTTCCATCAACCCCTCCTCCCTTTACAATCCTCTCTTAGGCAAACCCGAAGGAATTTCAGAATCAATCCACAGGTGGCAGGCATGTGTTAGGTGTGACGCGCTTCCACACAAGTTATCTCATTACTCAGCATAAGGACCTCCTGAGATAGGTATGATAACCCCCATCACTGCAAGGCAAACACTCAAGGTCCAAACAGGGTAATAAATTGGCCCAGGAACCACACAGCAAGCGAGAGAAGCTGCTGGATTCAGGCCTCTGAACTCAGAGGCATCCCAAGCAGACATGGGTGGCTAACAGGGCGGTGGAGGGCTTTTTCTCTAGCAGATAAGAAAGTCTGTTGACCAGAATTATTCAACTTTCACAGAGCTTTCATAAGCATGTTCTCAAGACACAGCTTTTTCCACACACTCTGTACCAAACACCCTGCAAAGAGATGAGGACTGACTCCACCACACCTATGACATCTGACCCAGAGCTGGCATGTTGACACTGCATGAGTTAATACAGTGTCCACCTGGTAAGCAAACAGCTCCCCTAATGCTTGCACCACCATGTACTCATCTGAGCCTCTGGACAATGCAGTGAATGGCTACAGTCTATGTCAGCAACACAAATGTTACGCCCGTTCTGCAAAAAAGGAGAATCCCCCTGACAGGCTGGCCCGCCTGCCCGTCCTATGGTTCTGGGAAGCAAGAGAACTGAGATTCGAACTCCAGTCTGTCTGGCTCCAAAACCTACGCTCTTTTCACCCTACTGTTTCACCTCTCAGGACTCCGGAAACTCAGGTCTTGTCCTTCCCTCATCCCAGCTTCCATGCCTCCCACTTTCTAGGCCCACTAGCTTCTGAGGACCTTCAGTGGCAGGGGGCTCACCCGCCCTCCTCATTCATATAAGTCAGTGGCCAGAGCACAACATGCTCCCACGCCACCTCCCCCGGCCTCACCCAGCCTGCCTGGGGCCACTGATGGTCAGCATCCCAGCCCACTCCTCACCACAAATGAAGACGGTCACTCTCTTTAAACAAGTGGCTAATGCCTGGCAATTAAGAAATTGCTTGCCCTATCATGGTCATCATGATGATGATGATGATGATAATAAGCCATTTAAAAAATCATTTTCTGAAAATATACTGTACTGAAAAAATAATGTATACTTAGACGGTCCATGTCTACTAAAGGGTAAATCTAAGATAAATCGTTGATTACATAAAAATTTATTTTTTTTCTTTTTTTTTTTTGAGACGGAGTATCACTCTGTACCCAGGTTGGAGTGCAGTGGTGTGATCTCGGCTTACTGCAACTTCCACCTCCAGGGTTCAAGCAAGTCTCCTGCCTCAGCCTCCAAAGTAGCTGGGACTACAGGTGTGCACCACCATGCCTGGCTAATTTTTTTGTATTTTTAGTAGAGACAGGGTTTCGCCATGTTGGCCAGGCTGGTCTCAAACTCCTCACCTCAACTAATCCCCCTACCTTGGCCTCCCAGAGTACTGGAATTACAGGCATGAGCCACCACGCCCGGCCTAAAAAGTGATTTTTGCTGAAAGAAGGCGATAACCCCTTTCCACCCTCAGCATGTCAAAGCACACGGTGGTGGCCCTTCCTCACTATTTTGTCCCAGAAGTAGTGGGAAGGCACAAGAATTAGCATCTCTGAAATGCCCTCGTCTCAGGCCCTGCCCTCCCTGTTGTGGGACACACTGTGCATGCTGTCATCTGTGGACACACAGCATCGGGTGGTAGCGTTTATTGACAAGTTCGTCTCTTTCTGCTACACTGTATGGACCCACATGGCGGGAAAGACTCCTGATTTATCAATGCATCCCCAGCACATAGCACAGGGCATGTAACTGCTACCAAAAATGTTACTGAATCGCTGCCAGCGACTTTAGAAACATTATCTCCCTCGATCCTCAGAACCACCCTCCGTGTCAGCTTCTAATGTCCCTATTCCATAGAGGGCATGACTGCAGACCACACAGGAGCGATCAGTTGTCCACGGCCACACAGTGGGGAGCTGCAGGGCCAGGCTGCAGCACAAGTCCGCCTGACAGCCACAGCCTCTCCAGGCCACCACACTGCCTCTGGGTCAGCAGTGGACCTTGGCACCAAGCCTGGCAGCACCACAAAGACCTATCACAAATGACAGAAGGCCTTCAAGCCGACACACTCAAGCTGAGGCCGGTGTTGCAGCCATCTTCGCATGGATGTAGCTCAGATGATGGCCACACCAGCCAACACACAGAGACTCGGGAATTATTCCGAGTTAAAGTGGAAAATGGTCTCAAACGCTGCCCTCAAGAGTTTCCTCATCTCTAAGACCCGATGCCACCTGCTGTGATGATACCTCCCCCAATTATACACCAAGGTTCATTGAGAGAGACTGGAACTTTAGGTTAAAGTTATGGGATCCGTCAAGCCTCTGGGCAAGCACTCACTGATCAGTACACTGCCAAAAAGATATTAGAAGCTATGGGATGTCAAGTACACTTTCCTACCACACAAGTGTTATAGCTCAGAAAAAAAATCCTACATCATCCACTGAATTCGTCCTCAGCCCAGATGAGCAGGTACTTCTTACTATGGTGAGAAGCCATATTATAAAGGAAAAAGGCCCTGGGCATCGAGTCCTGCAACCTGGCATGGCGCCTGGGGGCTGTGACTGACAAACTGTCTGACCTGGAGCAGGTACTTACATTCGTTCAGTCTTAATTTTCTCATCTGCAAATAGGGAATATAATGATGCCTGTAGCATCAGCATCAAAAGTTTTGAGAATCACTGGATGATGTTTGCTTAAGCCCTCTTCAACAAATACAGACTGTAATTTTCCTAAAAAGAATGCTGGACAATGTCTTTTTATTTGTTTTTTGAGATAGGGCCTTGCTCTGTCACCCAGGCTGGAGTGCAGTGGTGCAGTCTTGGCTCACTATAGCCTCAACCTCTTGGGCTCAGGTGATTCTCCCACCTCAGCCTCCCAAGTAGCCGGGAGCACAGGTGCCCACCACCAGGCCTGGCTAATTTTTCGTATTCTGTGTAGAGATGGGGTTTTGCCATGTTGACCAGGCTAGTCTCGAACTCCTGGGCTCAAGCAATCCACCTGCCTCAGCCTCCCAAAGTGCTGGGATTACAGGCGTGGGCCACCACACTCGGCCAACAACTTCTTAAGATTGAAAAGGAAAAGCAGAGAGGCAGGGCTTGCAATCCATGCCATCAGTGGCACAGGGCCCTGTGCTCTGGCATTTGGTTTGATGCTTTGCTGTTATTGTCTTCAAATTCTCAGCGATGTTTGAACAAAGGCCCTGTGTTTGCATTTTGCACTGGGCCCTACAAATCAAATCATCCCGAGAAGGGGAGTCTCACACTTCCAGTCTCCTAAATCACCTTTAGAAGTTTTTCTCAACAAAAGGACTGAAGCTTTCCTCAAAAGTTCTGTAGGAGAGAAAGCTCATCACTAACCCTGATGAGAACAGAAAAGAGCAGCCAGAGACTCTAGAAGGTCCTGGGGGAAGAGCCTCAGCACTCATAGGACAGTGAGTCCCGGGCCAGGGGAGACAGAGGAGCCCTGAGGGTGGCCCGCCCATCCCCACAGAGCTCAGAAGACGCCCTCCAGAGAGGAAAGGTGGAGTTCCCACAAGAGGCCAGGAAACGACGTCCCCAAAACACAGCGAGGACGGGATTTGTACAGCTCTCTCCTGCTTACTGCAACACACGCTGGAGCCAATCATATGGGGCCACCATCAGGCCCTGCCCGTTCATGCACCACATCCACCCAGTGCCTACACTTCCTGTCACCTCGTGTTCTCCAGAGCAGAGAAGCAGTGGCAGGAGAGACAAGGTTGGGGTGTCTTTCAGAATCAATAGACTAAAAATGGCACTTTAAAAATGCATACACACACACACACATGCATACACACACTCATACACACAGGCATACACACAATACACACATGCATATGCACAGTACACACACACATGCACACATACCTGCATAAACACATACACACATGCATACACACATATACATGCATACACACATACACGCATACACATACACACACACACACACACACATGCATACACACAAATTCTACAGTAGACTATATAGTTAGCACTCAGGTTTTCATAAATTTTCCAAAATTCAGAATTGGCTGCACTTTTTCAAGGGCATGACCCCAGGTCTCTTTATTTTCTTCTCATTCTAACAATGAACAGCTAGAACAGCTGGAGCCGCTCCTTGCAAAGCCCACACTGCTCCTCTGAGGGAGGCTGCGTCTGAGCCTCCGGGGGGCTTCCCCAGGGTCTGCGGGGCCCCACCCCACACCCCACTCCCAGTTAGCCCAGTGTTTATTGTTCATTCAAGCTCAATGTGTAAGTAACCAGGTATCCTGCTGACAGGCGTACATTTTTAGAGACCTTTTGTTCACATTTAGTCTCGATAGTCAACTTGTCATGCTTGTGTCTTGCCTACATGAACTGCATGACTGTGGGGTCCAGGTAGCAGGTCTCTCCGACACCCTCTATGCACGTGAGAGGAAACCAGAGGGTGCTCACAGGAACAGGACGCTTGGTCTGTGATGTGAAATCAAGCTTGTCACTAACTGAGTAACTTTTAGTTACTTCTAAAAGTCATTTCTCTGAGTTTGTTTCCTCATCTGTAAAAGGGAGATAAAAATGAAATCTTCCAAAACTACTGGAAACTCCGTAAGGCAACATATGACAGCCTCAACATATGATAGCACCGTTTGAATAAAAGAAATGAGGACCATTTTTAAAAGCACAAGGTTCTTTGAGTACTCCCTCCCTAGTTATGCCCTTTATCTTAGCAAACAACTTTATTTCTTCTGAAGCACTTTATTTTTTAAGGCATTCAGATAATTTACAAATTGTTAATGGAGTTTATTATGAGACCCTTACAGAAGCTAAGAAATCCCAGAGCTAGTAATATACGAGAAATGCTCATCAAGACAATGTGCTGGCTGGACGCAGAGGTCCCCACCTGTAACCCCAGCTCTCTAGGAGGCCGAGGCAGATGATTCACTTGACCCCAGGAATTCGAGACCAGCCTGGGCAACATGGCAAAACCCCATCTCTACAAAAAATACAAAAATTAGTGGGTATGGTAGTGTGCACCTGTGGTCCCAGCTCAGGAGGCTGAGGCAGGAGGATCAATTGAGCTCAGGAGGCTGAGGCGGCAGTGAGCCCTAATTACACCACTGCACTCCAGCCTGGATGACAGAGCTAGACCCCGTCTCAGGAAAAAAAAAAAAAAAAGATTATGTGCTACATGTAATGCTCTTCTTATTGTCCCTTCTGCCTTGAATTCTGCCATGCCCTGCCAGCAACACGAAATGTACAGTGAGATCTAGGTTCCCCTGTGAGTTCTTGGACAAGACACTTAAACGTCCTGAATCAGTTTCCCTGTCTACAAAATCTATAAAAAGGGATTCATAATAGGTACCCCATCCATTCATTCATGCTTCTGTCACTGCTCCAGCGGCTGGGGAGACAGCAGCCGCACACAGCCTGACAGAATGCTGGCTTCAGGTGATACTGCGGGGCAAAGCATCAATGGGCCAGTGTGGATCTGGGCTGGAGAAAAGCTGGGAAGAGAATCCCGGGCCAGTGTGGATCTGAGCTGGAGAAAAGCTGGGAAGAGAACCCCAGACAGTGCCGCTAGAGACGGTGGGAGGAGTGGCCTGCGAGGCGCTGGGATCAGAAAACGCCCCTCTGAGGGAGGGGGCATGTGAACAGAGACCAAAAGGATGTGACAACAATGACAGAGGGGCAGGGGACGAGTTCCTGGCAGAGGAAAGAGCGAGCCCCAAAGCCCTGGGCCTGGGACAAGCCTGTTTCTTTCCAAGACCCGAAAGGAGTGGCTGTGGCTAAACCAGAGTGATGGTGGCAGGAGGCGGCATGAGAAGCCGGACAGAGAGGGAAGGGTGTGGGCAGGGCAGGGTCAGGGAGCGCCTGCAGTCCGTAACTCAGGGTGTGGGTGAGCTTCCGAGTGCAAGAGGAAGCCTCTGTCCTGGAAAGAAAAGCATAGTGGAAAAAGGAGTTGGAATGCCTTTTTCCTAAATCGGAGTTAAAGGAATTAAGAGTAGAAATAAAGAAACAGAAGGAGAAGAAAGCACTGTATATGAAACGCAGGGCGCCGCGGTTGTGCAGGCCTTCCGCTCATACTCCCTGGAGGCCCTGGCAGTCGCCAAGCAGCGGCCAGCCTCTAGGCCCTCAAGGCTCTGTCACAGGACATGTGGGCTCAACCAGCAGTGGTCCCCAATGACAAGAAATCACCATCTCCTGCAAGAGGCCTCAGGCGTGTCTTTGTGGCAGCAAGGGACAGGGAGCTTGCTGCCACAGCCGGGCTTCGGGAAGGCCATCAAGGGACAGGGCCGGCGGTGCATGCTGAGCCCTGGTGCAGGAGGGACGAGAGCTCAGACACAGGAAAGCTCAGGAGAAACTGTCCACTCCCAGTCTCTCCCACAGCACAGCTTAACCCCAGGACTGGCTATCCTGATCACCTGTGTTCACAAAAGAACAGAACACAATTACCTCATCCCCCACTCAATCCTGAACACAACCCAACCCTGAATCTTTCTTTGATGATTCAAAAGTCACTTCAGCCCTTGGAAAATCAGTCTACATCTCCAATTATCACTTTTCTGTAGTTCACATAAGTCTCAGTTAACAAAAGTCTTTCTGGTTTCTAGAACTTTCACAAAATTACCTTATACGAAATACATTTTTAAAAATCAGATCTATGGGCAATTGCCTGCCAAAAGCAGCAAATCAAATAAACTTCCATGACAGACTACACACACACACACACGTGCACACATCCACACATGCACATCCACAAATACACATAAACACACATATCCATGCATGCACACATGCATGCACACAGGCACACACACACACATATGCATGCATACACACATCCACACATGCACACATACACACATATGCACGCATGCACACATGCACACACACGTATGCGTGCACACATCCACACAGACACGCACACACACACACACGCACATGCATGAACTGGCCCAAAATTCTGTTCTAAAAATCTAGAAAAGCCATTGGAAATCAGGTGGCATAGCACGGTGGGAAAGCCAGGATCAACATCCTACCTATTTTCTTGTTCCGCTCTTCTCCACGGTTGTGTGCGATAATTGGTGAATAGATGAAGGGACTTTTGGTCGACACGTTCTGGCCCAGCAAGCTCTTCATTTTGTGTGGCCGGAGGCTGGCAGGGAGATTCAACAGTTTCACATGCCTGTTGTTTCAAACAGAACACAAATACTTCAACTGTCTTGTTAGCTTGGTTTCAGAATAAACACAACCAAACATGATGTGTTAGAAAAACAGTAAATCGGTCAGAAAGAAGATAAATGGAGGGAGGAAAAGCACTCCGAGGCAGCAGGACAGACCAGGAAAGCGTTGCAACAGTAACCAAGACTCTCCCAGAGAGGGGAAATCGCTCCCTGGAACTCGGGGAGCAGCCACTTCCCACTGGGAGCTCCTGAACTGGGCCCAAGGGTGGTCTGGAGTCAGAAAGGTCAGCTTGCAATCTCGCTGCACACTTACCAGCTGTGTGCCTCTGGGCACGTGCCTTGACGTCTCTAAGATGTAGGTTCCTTGTGTATCAAGTGCAGGTGGGGCCACCACCTTCCCCGTGGACCCTTGGGGAGGATCCAGCTAAAGACTCCTAGCACGGGGCCCACTGCTTGGCCCAGAATGGCTCTTCTCTCTTTGCCTCTCCCTTTCCCGAGGGACCTGCCCGCAGCAAGTGGCAGCCAGACCCTGACCCATGGGAAGAGATGGCACCTATGAGAAGGTCAATGGCACCCTCTGCTCTACTCGCATGCATGATTGCCTCTCCAGCAGCAGCATCTGCATCTGACATTGCTTCCCACAGCATCCCAGCCGTGGATGTCTGCCAATCTATACTCATGCTCGAATTCATCCAGCTAGCATTAAGATAAATGTACCAATCCATGGAGCCTGAGCATGATCAGGCACTGTGCTAACCACTGCATACGTATTATCTCACTGAAACATCACAACCACCTTCTTAGTTTGGGTACTACTACTATTGTCTCCATGTCATCAATAAGGAAATTCACACAGGAGGGACTAAGTATATTGCCCCAAATCCCCCAACTCCCTCATGGCTGAAAGCAATAACAATAGGTGACACTATGCTCTTAAACCACGGCACTAGAAGGTGCTGTCACCCTTGTGACCAGTTTGGGAAGACGGTGGTTAAGATCTGGAACACTCCTGGACGTCAGACAGAAAGGACGAGGGGTGGAGGTGGGAAAACAGGAAGATGGATAGTGACACTGATCGTGATGAATCTACGGGCTCCCCACTCCCCGCCTCCTGGCCTCCGCAGGAAGGTGAGGCCCCCTGAGGAGCTCTGGCCAGTAGGTTGTGAGTGGGAGCCACCGAGGCCTCTGTGAGACACACTCTAGAGCGATGGGCCAGCCCCCAGCTCTCTCCTTCGGCCGCACAGCCATGGCGATCCTGGAGGCTGGACATTGAGAAGGTGGAGCACCAGACAGATGCAGCCTGGAGCACAGAGCAACCTCCCAGAGCTCAGCTGCCCTGGAGAGCCGCCCAACCCGCATCAAACTTGTGTGAGTGAGGCAGAAACTGTTGTTACAGTAAATCACAAAGACTTCAGGGTTGATTTTTCTGCCACAGTGCACCCTAACCTATACTGTGTAATAACGACTGCCTTACCGAATCCACAAAATCACCACCTCTCTCAGTGAGGAGGGACCTCAGGTGCCTTGTTCCATCCTGCCCTGTGCAAAGCACGCCTACAGCACTCAGCAGACAATCCCCACCAGAGACCCACATCCCAGCCCTGGGGAGCCTGCCATGTGCGTGGTTCTCTCCCGCCACCCTCAGTGACTCACGGCAGGAGATGGTGCTAACCCCGTGCCCTCCAGACCAAGGGCACACCCAGCACATGCTCCCCAGCTCCCTTCACTTTGTGTGTGCCCTTCATTACGCCTTTATCATAAAGGATCAGAACCATTTCATTCTGTATTTGTTTCCACTCAGCTGTGAGCCTGCTGAGGACAGGGGCACCAGGGCCTTATCTGTCTCCAGCTGCAGAACTAATAAAATCATACTTGGCCTATGAAGCTGCCAACAGTAAAGCAGAAGTCTAGGGATAAAGTGTCCAAGACAAGGATGATTTTGACAGAGTCCATTTGGAAACTGCTGACACCATAAAAACCTGACTTCCCTCAGGAGCAGCAGCCATCGGGCCGTGCAAAGCATCGCAGAGCGCTGATCAGGAAAGCGACGCCAGACAAACTGGTCAAGAGGAATGACAGCCAAAAACTACTCACCTTTTGTTTCCTGGTTTTTAATTCATCAACCTTATTCACAGGGAAATTCTCTAAGAAGAGACGGGGTGGGGACTACAGCTGGCCTCTAGTGCCTCGTGTGTGTGACAGTGTGGAGGCCGCTTGCTCCGAGTCTGGAGTAACTGAGCGAGCTGGAAGGGGCGACCGCGCCAGCTGTGGCAGCAAGGTGGGGCCAGCCGCTCCCCTCCTGAATGCCGCTATACATTTCTTATCAGCTCCAAACAGCTCTGGTTTAAGAAATTCTTAAGGAAGGTTATGGCTTGGCCACCAGACCATGTATAGGAGCTCAACGTTAGCTCTCAAAAAAGAAAATATTCAATGAATCCCACTCGCCCATCACTGCCCCCAAATTAAAGACTCACTGGTTAACTGGAAATGGCACTGAAACTGTATTCCACTTCCTTAATAATAATCCAGGACTTACTGTGTGTTCATCATCTACATGCTTATTAAGGGCCTGATAGTCTACTGTTGGCTACTGTGTACACACTTTATCATTTTTGCAGAGAATTCCATAAGTAAGGAAAAAAGATCGCGTATAGTTCTATCAGAACCATCCTCTACTTTAACTCTGGGCAACAGTAACAGGATGTGGGTTCGGCCACCTCCTGGCAGATGAGATCACACTTGGCCACTGCTGTCTCCTCGCAATTAGCCTTGGGCCAAAAGCGCATCTTAGACACTCAATAAATATTTGATCAATTGAATTTTGGAATAGAACTAAAATAGGGATGTATTTTGACTCCTTTTTCATTACCTGCATCATAATTACTTGAAACCATCTTTGCGTGAGCCTAGTTCAGGCTCCCATGCTACAGAGAACAAGTATTTTCCAGTAAATTGCTAAAATAGTTTTATCGTCAAATACTAAGAAAGACCTCAAGGGAAAAGAAAATGGCTCTGATCATCTATTCTAAAACTAAAGTCATAATTAGGAGCCATCCCCAGCAGTAAATTCGTTCACGTCTAACAATTCTATATAGCAGGTCTGATCATTTACTCACCAATGTTGACATTTTTCAACTAACTTATCCTGTAACACTAACAGGAGCTTTAGTCTTCAGGTGCACATATTACTGAGCTCTTCTTATGTCATAGGGGTTGACCTGCAATACCTGACTTAAATTTTTTTTTTTTTTTAGCTGGAGTCTCGCTCTTGTCGCCCAGGCTGGAGTGCAATGGCATGATCTTGGCTCACTGCAACTTCCACCTCCTGGGTTCCAGCGATTCTCTTGCCTCAGCCTCCCAAGTAGCTGGGACTACAGGCACCCACCACCACGCCCGGCTAATTTTTATATTTTTAGTAGAGATGGGGTTTCGCCATGTTGGCCAGGCTGGTCTCAAACTCCTAACCTCCAGTGATCTGCCCACCTCGGCCTCCCAAAGTGCCGGGATTACAAGCATGAACCACCACACCCAGCCCCAATTTTTTTTTAATTAAACTGGTAAAATCCAGGTTTCCAGGCATAGGATGTTGAAGTGTTTGGTTGATATATGAAGATAGTCCCAGACTTTTTTCCTAAGGAAGCACCTTGGCCTAGTCAATAGCTACTGCCCAGGCTTCCCTTCAGGTGGAGATGAGGAACAAGGATTTAGGAAGAGGGGGACAACCCTACATGTGATGTGGACATTTAACCACTGTACACAGATTCACTGCAGGCCTGCCACGGACCAGGTGCTGAGGGCACCAACAGCACGGGCCTGCTCCCCTCGCTCGGCATCAGCAGACACCTACCAGCTCTTCCTGATGCCTAAGAACGTGACTCTGGATTATCTGTTGCCCACCTCCTGCCAAAAGCTCACTTATGAGAAATCGCATTCGTGAAGGAGTGTGTGATGCACAGCAGCCCACCTGTTATCCTAGATGCTGGCAACAGAGGGGCTAAGTCAAGCCAGGCAACAGCAGGCCACACCGCTGTGTTCTCTGGGAGAGCTGCCTTCATCCGCTGGTGCTCCGGCCCCATGCCCTCAGTGTGCATTACTGAATGCTAACAGCAAAACAACGTCAGACACCTGCCCAGATCTTCGTGGGGATGTTGCTGAGCATGTTACTCGAAACATCAGAATGTTCTCTTTGAGATAATCCACTAAAGGGGTTTCCCACCTCCTTGCTGGGAAGAGATGCATTTCCCCAGTGTGACTGATACATGCCTATTCTTGAGAGAGAGGGGCTCTTGCAGCCAATCACGCTTCCTTCTTGTCAGTTACCTCAGAATCGTGCTCTCTCCCATCTCCAGCCATTACACAGGACATTATAAATTTCAGGTTCTAACAGAACTTCTCACTTTAATTTTCTATCCCACTGTTATTTTCCCTTCACTCTGGTTACCTGAACTTGTTCTTTTTTGAGAGACAGAGAGAGAGAGAGTCTCGCACTGTCACCCAGGCTGGAGTGCAGTGGTACGATCTCTGCTCACTGCAACCTCCGCCTCCTGGGTTCAAGCAATTCTGGTCCCTCGGCCACCCAAGTAGCTGGGACTCCAGGCACGCACTACCCCATCCGACTAATTTTTTGTATTTTTGGAAGAGATGGGGTTCTGCTATGTTGGCCAGGCTGGTCTCGAACTCCTGAGCTCAGGCAATCCACCTGCCTCAGCCTCCCAAAGTGCTGGCATTACAGGTGTGAGCCACTGCGCCTGACCCAGGAATTTAAAAAAATAACTAAATAGCTACATATCTGCTTTTCTTGAGGGAGTGATGGACCTAATTCATTTGATTTAATTTAACATGTACAAACAAAAGTAAAAACTGACAGGGAATGGTAAAGTGACATCTAATTAGAGGCAAAATTCCCTGAAACTTCTGTAAGAACTCATGTCTGCAAAGAGTTTTTCTGCTTATAAAACACTTTCCCAAACATTTCATTTGATCCATGCATGGGAGGTATGTC